TCCACTCACCTCAGCCTCCCAAAGGCGCGGGATGACAGGCTGAGTCACCGAGCCCGGCTTCTATTTGTTTTAAGAATACAAAGTTCAGGAAGTTTAGGACATACAAAATGTTACCTTTCTCAGAGGGACCCTGACCGATATTGCTTTGGAAATAGACCAAGGAAACAAGAAGAGTTCTCTATTTTACAGAAGAAAAAACTAAGGCCCAAAAGTGTTAACTGGGTTTCCCTTTTTCATCCGTATTTAAAATGAGTGAATTCAAATTTGAATTCAGTTCAGTACTGCCCAAAGCTTATACTCTTTGAAGCATTTGTTGCTACTTCCGTTACTGAATGTAAATTGCCACTTACACTATCTGAAATTATTGTGAGAAACTAGGATGGGCCTGAAAATAATTTTCACCACTGAAGTTGAACTGGATTCTTTTGGGGGAAGAACTGGCTAGTTTAATGATATGTTTTACTGTTGCCATCATCCTTTTTCAGGCTTTCTTCTATATTTATACTCTTTCTGGAAACTTGTCAAATTTCCATCAGACTGATTGTTTCTAGCATGAGTTCATAGCTGTATTTTTTAAAATGTGTAATTAATACAGTATCTATTCGGAATTAACTCATATGTCCTATGAGGATTTAAAAGGGATCATTCTGGGCAACCCCATCGGGTCCTCTCCCACTGTGGGAGCTTTTCTGTCTTCTTAATAAATCGACCTCTTTAAAGACAGTCTAACTTCTAACTCTGTAATTTACTAACTATCTCCAACAGTGTGAGATGAGGCCTATAGGACAGAAAACAAAGGAAGTCTGGAAAGAAATCACTGGATATTCCCAGAAGGAACCCCTGTTGATCATAAAGAAAATTCTCATCAGAGCAAAAAGAACACAAGGCAAATTGAAATGGACTAATCAGAGAGTTTGTAGGTGGGAGAAGATGAACACGAATAGAAAGCCCGTTCATTTCAAAGCATGAATCATGAAAAGTGGAAGAGGGATGAGAAAAAAGAATTATTTCAAGTAAAAGTTTTAAAATAAAGCACACTAATCCTTAAAAGAACACAAGAGGGAGACTTCTGTGATTTAAGATAGGATCAAAAGAGTGGATGTGCAAATGAACTATGAGATAGGCCCCATGAGCAGGTTAGAATTGCCAGTTATCCTCTGGTATCACTGTCAAAGTTCTGCTCCATCACTCTACAATGATTGCACCTGATTCTATAAAAATAGCTATGTGATTTATTTATTTCTTATAGCTGACTTAAATAATGTATTTAATCCATGACCAAAAATCTTTTGATTTTCAAATATATATATATGAAAAAACAATCATTCATAGTAATTAGGCATGTCGCTAGTAGACAAAACCACGATCTTTGGCGTGAATCGCAACCTTACCACACAGCTCCAGCTGCCCCGGGACTCTGTTCTTAATCTGCCCTCCTGTATGCTAATATTGTTTTCCTTGTTCTAAATGTGAGAGCCCCAGTGACTGTTTATGAACAATCATGCCTTATTTGCCTGCTTTGGACTGATGCCTTTTGCCATTTTCCTGTGGAACAGCTGCATAACTTGGGCCAGGACCAAATTGTTCCACTTGACATTACTATAGAAACATTCTATTCTTTCCTTAAAAGAGAGATTACTGTACATGTCTGTCTATTGTTTTAATTTTAGTTTAAAGTGAGGACCAAGCTCATGCCAACCACTTTTCTTTCAAGTCCCCAGAGTTTTTGCAGCCCTCTTCTTTCTTTGGCTGCATTCCCAGACAGCTTTCAGGCGGAAGCATTCGCCATTTATAAGAGTGAAGGAAAAAAGAAAACACACACACACACACACACAAAACACAAAACCTTTCCATTACATTAAAGTCATGACCTTAAGTGGTGTGGGGTTGCCCTCTACATGCTGAAACCAATGAGTTATCGTTCATTTTAATCAAGTGTTTAATATTTTGTAAATTTACTTCAAAAAACAATGAGACATTTTTGGTAAAATACATGTGTATTTGGCAACCATTCTATAAAGAAAATAATTATAGGCATTGATAAATTTTTCTGTGTATGCAGTACAATGTTTATGCTGTACTGACTATTTCACTTCCTGGTAACTACAATTTTTCTTTTGTTCTTGGCATAAATCTAGTATGCATAATTGCACAGCACATAACATCACTATTCTGTACAAGAAGAAAGATTTTAATCTTTAGGAAGACAGATCACATACCATGTAGCAACTAGTGAGGTGTTTTAGAGGAACAATTACGCATCCATTCTGGAAATGATCAAGAATTGAAGAAATCTGATATGCACAAATAAATGTATTTTTTTTCTATTCGCATAATAGAGATTTTTTTTAAGACAAAAATTAAGGCAAGAAAGTTTCATAGCAAGTCAGTTTTCTCAGTC